AGTTTCCATCCGTTGTTTCTTGCCTTCTGGGGCTTTGGAGAATAACTTGACCCCACCTCTTCTCTGGGGAAGCCCCCCCAAATACTGGAAGACTGCTATCATAGCAATACTGGTACGGTTGTTGAAATTCAAATTCTGGGATTAAAGTTTAAAAGTGCCAAAATTGAAAAAAATACGGACCTGGAAGGCTATAGGACGATCAGGCGATCATTTGATCGCCACGAAGAATAATTGAAACGCCAGTATTGATTTCAGCTATGGATGAATTAATTAGAAAGATATCGTTTATATAGAGCAACCAGTTAGTAGTCAGTGGTGGGACGTTTGCTTGCTGGAGGATTCTGGGAGTTGAAGTCCACACGTCTTGAAAGAGGCATAGGTTGAAATTGTTTTTGTCTCGCTAATCACGACGAAGTGAAAAAGGGAATTTTAGAAACGCCTGTGAGTTTTATTTAAAAAAAATGAAATGTCTAAAATCCCATTTTTACATGTCATGATTTTAGTTACTTCTGGCTTAGTTGTAAAGGTATAGACATATTTTTATGACTGTAAGCCACCTAGGGTGAGATGGGTGGCCAATAAGTTTCACACACACACACACACATGCACGCACGCACACATAAATAAAAGCAAAATACCCCTCACACATCATCCCAAAATCTCCAGAACCGTAAAGCCTACAAACTTGAAATTGGGCCCATATGTTCCTCTTGGCTTCTAAGGGCTCACTAAGAAACGATTTTTCCAAAAGACCCTCGGAGCATTTAGAGTATTATGTATATTCTTGTTATTAACACGCGTTGATCTAAGGAGTTCGACTCCCTCTGCACACCTGAAAAAAAGAAATCTCTTCCAAATGCAAAACACAAGCAGAAGAGTTTCGGTTTCACAGCATCAAGCAGCTTTAGTACAGAACAGTTGAGCTAAGCCATGCCCAGCCTCCTTGCTGTCTCCTTGCTCACACAGCAAATACTCTTTCAGTTTCCAAACAGCCCTCAACTCTCTCACACACTGACAGGACGCTAGGCAGATGAACACCCATGGATGCTGGTAGGCAGAGGCAGAATTTTTTGTCCCTTATTTTCCTCCCCCCAAATCACATCGTTTCGTAATGGAGCACGGATATCGAGCTAGGACATGCATACATACGTACCTGGGTTGCTCCAAAAATAAGACCCAGTCTTTTCTTTTGGGGTCTGAAATAAGCACTAGAGCTTATTTTCAGGGGATGTGGCCTTTTTTTCTTCTCAATGTAGGGGAGGCCTACTTACTCATGGCTGGGCAGGAGACTGCACAGTGCACCAACGCTGCCTCCGCGAGGTGGGGAGGGGAAGGGAAAGAGGGAGGGAGGGAGGGAGGAGGAAGGAAGGGGAGGGAGAGAGGGAGGAAAAAGAGAAGGGAAGGAAGGAAGGAAGGAAGGAAGGAAGGAGGGAAGGGAAGGAGAGGGAGGAGGAAGGGAAGGAAGGAAGGAAGAGCCATAGTGGCGCAGTGGTTAGAATAATATAATATTGCAGGCTAATTTTGTCCACTGCCAGCAGTTCGATCCTGACTGGCTGAAAGTCGACTCATCCTTCCATCCTTTGAAACGAGGCCCCAGATTGTTGGCTGACTCTGTAATCCGCTTAGAGAAGGCTATAAAGCACCGTAAAGCAGCATATAAGTCTAAGGAGCTATTGCTATTTACAAACAGACAGGGACTAGAAAAATAAAGATTTCTGCTTTTTTTTTTTTGTTAACCAAAACCCAGATTTTTGCGGTTGTGGTTGTCCTTTTTTCAAACGAAAATGGCAGAGGCAAGGACACCCGATCTCCTTGTGGCTCTTCTTGGAATCGTCAAGGTTGCAAGACCAGATCCATAAAGGAAAGTCCCAATTAATCCGCTTTGTTGCCACGAGCCCGTTTGCGGGAATCTTCTCAACCAAGAGTTGGCAGCTGCTACGAGTTTGATAAGGCTCCGTGTAGTTTAAGGGAGGTTGGGCTTAGTTTGCTTGTGGCTACGTAGGGACGCTAGGCCGATTCCTCCTTTGAGGCCCTCCTCAATTCTGCCGCTCCTTCCCCTACAAAGACCCGAATAGATGCCCTCTTTTTTCCCCCCCCCAGGAGTGATGACCCTCTTCTCCATCAAGAGCAACCATCCGGGCCTCCTGAGCGAGAAAGCGGCCAGCAAGATCAACGAGACCATGTTACGCCTCGGTAAGTAGAGGTGTAAGGGGTTGAAGTGAGGGGTCAGCTCGTACCGTGGCTTGTTTTGGCCAGCTTTCTCCAAGCCAAGTTACGATGGTGAGAAACGTGGCTTGTTCCTTAATAAGTTCCTTCCTTGTTCCTTCCTCCAACCACTGTGGCTAGGTGAGCAAGCCGTGATTAAAATAAGCCACCATTTAACCTATTGCTTGCACCCAACACCTGAGTTTGTCTAGAATGCTTTCTTCAAAGGGTTGAGCTCATGGGGGATGGTTGTGTGAATCAAGGCCTTTGGTTAAAGAATTCGTTTACTTCAAGGAGCCAATTTAGTCTAATGGTTAACGCACTAAGCTAAAATCTGGGAGACGGTGAGTTCTAGTCCCGCCTTAGGGATGAAAGCTGGCTGGGTGACTTTGGGCCAATCTCCAGGAGACGGTGAGTTCTAGTTCTATCTTAAGCATCAAAGCCATTTGGGTGACTTTGGGCCAATTACCAGGAGATGGGGAGTTCTAGTCCTAGCTTAGTTATGATATCCATTCAGGTGACTGGGTCAATCACAGGAGACAGAGAGTTCTAGCTCCATCTTAAGCATGAAAGCCAGGTGGGTGGCTTTAGGCCAATCACCAGGAGACGGTGAGTTCTAGTTCTGCCTTAGGCAGGAAAGCTGGCTGGGTGACTTTGAGACAATCACCAAGACACAGGGAGTTCTAGTTCCATCTTAAGCATCAAAGCCATTTGGGTGACTTTGAGACAATCAGCAGGAGACAGTGAGTTCTAGTCCCACTTTAGCCACAAAAGCCAGCTGGGTGACTTTGAGACAATCACCAGGAGAATGGGAGTTCTAGTCCCACAAAAGCCAGCTGGCAGTCTCTCTGTCTCTCTCCCTCCCTCTCCATCTCCCTGTTCCGGCTTGTTGGGCAATCAAAGAACCAGGAAGCAATATAATCAATATTTGCTACCTTGAGTTGTTTATAAAAAATAATAATGGTGCGATATAAATCAAACCACTCCGTTGTTTATCCGGTTCTTCCAATTGTGCCATGGCTGATGATGAGTTAATAACACAGAAAGGCCGTTCGGCCTGTCTCATGAATGCAGCTGCTGTCGGAATCTGATTCAGAGTGGGAGGTCGAGCAGCTGACAGGGAGGGGGGAGTGTGGCTCCGTTGGCTGTGGAAGAAACTGGGGAAGGGCAAAGACCGGTTGGGCAGAGCAGGGGAGAGGTAGAACAAGGGAGAGGGAGCTCAGAGGAAGACCCAGGCCCACCCCCTCTTCATCCTAGGGCAAGCAGGGAGGAACGGAGAAGGGAGCAACATGGGTTGCATGGCTTACGGGGGAGGAAAGGGCCCTGATTCCCTTCATTAGCTGCAGCTGGAAACACAGTGTTAAAAAAAAGCGCAGCAAGTTGTCGGGAGCAAATCGTGGTATCACTGAGGCTTATCTGGGTTCCTGGCGTCTTCCCAACCGTGTGTGTTTTGCTGGCCTTTCCAGTCTGCAATTCCTGCTCCTGCTCGGCCAAACTAATTTACTTCAGTTTGGCTCGATTGGACTTTAAGTTACAGTTTGCGTTGACCATGTTTTGGACTTGATTCTCTGCAACCAAAGGCTGTTCCTGGGAGAGTTTTTCTCCCGCCAAAGGTAACCTGGACATTGGGGGCAACGTTGGAGATAATAATAAAGGGACTCTTCTTATTTGACTGCGTTGCCTTTCTGCCGCGCCGCGTTGGGTCATCACACGGGACCTCGCCGGGTTCAGAGGTCTCTCTGACTTCTGCCTTTCATTCGCCAGGGATCTTTGGCTTCCTGGCCTTTGGCTTCGTCTTCATCACGTTCGGCTGCCACTTCTACGACTTCTTCAACCAGGCCGAGTGGGAGCGCAGCTTCCGGGAATACGTGCTGTAAGTCACGCCGCGCATCTCCGGTTGAATGCAACCCCGTGTAGAATTGACACGCGCGCCAGGTTCCCTCGATGACCAATTGCCGAAGGGGATCGAGGGTTTTCCAACCGAGCCTTTTCCCCCCCCCCCACCGAGGCAGCTGCTGTATTAAGGACCCCCAGATTTGTCCACTTTCACGCCAGGGTCCAGAAACCAGCATCAAGCAATGATGGCTTTTGCTGAAGGACAGGGCAGCTCAACTCGGTTTGGGAGCCTCAAATCCAGATTCTGGGTTTGCTTGCATGGGAATCGAATGGCGACGGACCCAGATTGGATCTTGTAGTAATCCATTGTAGAAACGGTCGTAGCTTTCTTTAAAAGGAGGTTTGTTTCGGCTGAATTTCCAAATCTTGGTGACTTTAAAATAGTTATTTTTCCCATCCTCATGTTCCATGGTGGTTCAGTGTTTTTCAGCATCTTTAAGATGGGTAGACTTCAACTCCCAGAATTCACCATCCAAAATGCTTTACAACGGGTGAACTTCAACTCTCAGAATTCCTCAGCCAGCAGGCTTTGAGATGGATGGACTTCAACTCCCAGAATCCCCCAGCCCTTCCAAAACTCACCCTGAGAGGCCATGATTTGATTGTCCTTGATTTACGACTGCAATCAAGTCCCAAATTTCTCTTGCCCTGCGAGACGGTGACTTTTGCCTCCTTTTTATGACCTTTCTTGCCCCCGTTAAGCGAATCGCTGCAAGGGCTCAGTTAGTGAATACAATTTGGCTTCCCCATTTGACGTTGCTCGTCAGAAGGGCCGCCCAAGTGGATCACGTGACCCTCCCCCCGGGGACCCTTCAACTGTCATAATTACATGCCAGTTGCCAAGCCTCCGAATTTCGATCACATGACCATGGCGAAACTGCCACGGTCATTATGTGTGAAATGCTATTTTTTTTCCAGCGTCGTTGTAACTTTGAAATGCTCACTAAATAGTCGAGTGGAGGACTAGCTGCTTACGTGGGATTCCTCAGCCTGTTCCTCTATAGCAGGGATGGCAAACCTTTTCGTTGTGGTGTGCTGATAGTGTGTGTGATAGCGTGCGTGCCGGCACCCACAATGCAATGCGCCCCACCTCCTGACCTGCGCTGCATATGCGCACACCTTCCAGTTGATTTTTGGCTGTTGGAGGCCGTTTTTGCCCTCCCGGAGGCTCGAGGGAAGCCTCTGCAGCCTTGGGAGGCTGAAAAAGAGGCCCGTTTTGCCACTTTGGGTATTTCCGGAAGGCCCATTTTGCAGCCTCCTGAAGCTGCAGAGCCTCCAGGAGGGCGAAAACGGCATCAAACAGACCGAAAATCAGCTGGGAGGGCGCACGCATGCGCAGTGCAAGTAAGTTTGGCCGGGGCTGGCGTGCCAGCACAAATGGCTCTGCGTGCCCCCTGTGGTTCGCCATCACGGCTCTATAGTTTCTCCTCCTCCTCCTCACCTGCCGCAGGTGTGAGGCCAACGTGACGATCGCCACCCAGACCAACAAGCCCATCCCGGATTGCGAGATCAAGAACCGGCCCAGCCTCCTGGTGGAAAAGATCAACCTCTTCGCCATGTTTGGCACTGGCATCTCCATGAGCACCTGGGTGTGGACCAAGGCGACGCTGCTCATCTGGAAGCGCACCTGGTGCAGGTAAAGGGGGATGCTGGAGGGATGGCTCCTTGGGGTGGGGGGAAACGGAGCGCTGGTTGGAGTACCAGAGGGATTGGAGGTGGGGTGGAGGTGTTGAATTAAGGAATTCTCCAAGTCTACAGTGAGAAGAGGCAGGAGGTGTTCCTCCCAAGGCTCAAACACCTACAGGTAGGTCCTTGACTTACAGCCGTTCGTTTAGTGATCAATCAGAGTGTCAAGGCTTCAACAAACCACCCCCATTCATATGTCTCTAGCCGCATCCCTCAAGAGTAAAAAAAAATATGATTTATTACGAGTGACTATGTCGGCATTACCTGGGTGAAGCCAACTCTAAGATACGTCATTCATTTCACCCTTAACCCTGGTCTTCTTTCCACCCCCTGGATGTATATTCTCCAATGGGACACATCCATAGCCAAGAGTCATCCATCTTGCTTTTCAGTAATAATCTTGTGTGCCAACAGCTTCGGCTGCCTAGCAATCATCTGAAGCATTTAAGGAATGCACTGCTTTCCCCACCTCTCCCTTTCTGCTGGCAACTAAAAAGACCAAAGGAATATTTTTTAGTTCACACAGAGTTAGTATGACTCTCCTTACTCCTTTTTTCTCCTTTGCCTCCTCTTCCACCATTCGTTCCTCTCTTCCTCCTCCTTTTCTTCCTTTTCTCCTCATTTCATCTACCACAATCAATTTATGATGACGCAACGGGGCATGACACAAGGGCAACCCAGTCAGACGATCCGTAGGAGTCCCGTTATTAGTTCCAACTTTGCCCCCCAATGTCCTGGTTACCTTCTGGGTTGGAGAAAAACTCTCGCCTTTGGCTGCAGGGAATCGAGTCCAAAACGTGGTCAACAAAAACTGTAACTAGAAGTCCAAACAAGGCAAAATGAGGTCATTAGTCCAGCAGGGCAGGAGAAGGAATTCCAGATGTGAAGGAACAGCAATAACTCAAAACAGTTGGGAGGATGACAGGAAAGCAGATAAGCAAAGTCAACACAAGAAAAACTCAGGTTTACTCCCAGCGATTGCCGCACTCAGCTTGCATCTCTTTTAAACTCTCTTCCCAGGAGTGGCTAATGAAGGGAATCAGGGCCCTTTCCTCCCCCGTAAGCCACTCAACCCACGTTGCTCCCTTCTCCTTTCCTCCCTGTGTGCAGGGAGGATGAAGAGTGGGTGGGCCTGGGTCTTCCTCTGAATTCCCCCTCTCCCTTGTTCTACCTCTCCCCTGCTCTGCCCAGCTGGGCTTGGCCCTTCCCCAGTTTCCTCCACAGCCAACGGAGCCGCACTCCCGCTCCCTGTCAGCCGCTCATCTTCTTCCTCCTCGGATTCAACCCCCACAGGGGCACAACCGTTCTCCTCGGGGTGGGATTCAACTGGCATGACAACCGGTTTGGTGAGCGCACGCGTTTCAAAACCACCCGTTTTTCAGCTCTAAAACTTACTTTCTGCTGCAGCTCCGGTGAGTGAAACAACTGAGGCGCGAGAGTCCACTGTGCCGCGCGAATCAGCCGGCTTACAAAACACAGAAATAAAAGACTAGGTCAGAGGCGGGTGGACTAATCGCTGGAACAACTGGTTCACTCAAACCGGTCCAAATTGGCTGAATCCCGCCCCTTTTCCTTCTCCTTTCGTTCATCTCCCCTTTTCTCCTTCCTCCCTTTCCCTTTTTGTCCTCCTCCACTACTACCTCTCCTCCTGCTTTTCCTTCCTTCTTCTTCCCCTTCTCTCTTTTCCCCATTTCCTTCTTCTTTTTCCTTTTCCTTTTGTCTCCCGCTTCTTGTCTTTTCCTTCTCCTTTGATGGCCTTTCTTGCTACGGTTGCTAAAGGAATCGTAGTTCAGTTAGTCACATGGCTGTCACTAAGCGAATCTGGCTTCCCCCTTGACTCGGCTTGTCAGACGTTCCGAAAAAGAGGACGCAGAACCGTCATAAGTACATGCCAGTTGCCAAGCATCTGGATATGGGTCACGTGATGACAGGGAACGCTGCAACCGTCGTAAGCGTGAAGAACGGACCCAAGTCCCTTTTTTTTCAGCGCGGTCACCTAGAACAGTCACTAAACAAACGGTTGTAAGTCGAGGGCTACCTGAGCACGATGTTTTTGCGTTCTGTGGGGCTCTTGGCCCTGTTTACCCCTCCATTTGTAGGTTGGTGTGTTCTGGAGTCATTGCAGAACTCTGCATTTTGTCCTTAAATGGGTCTTAAAAGGGTGGAGAAATAACCCCAGAGGCCCGGTTGCAAATGGCAGGAGGTGACAACCAGAAGAATTTCCCAAAGGCACTTTCTGTTTTTTTCTTTGAAGAAGTTTCGCTACTCCTCCAAGAAGCTGCTTCCATTCTGACTGGATGGTGCGGAAGGGAAGGATTGATACTCCTTGCAGGCAGCTGGTCATTTGCACCCTTTTAGAGAGACGTTGAGGCCACTTGGAGGT